ACTTTTTTAGAAGCAGTTTCAGGGTTGGAACTTTGATGACATTTTGCGCACTTGTAAATGGCTATCCTTTTTGCAGAGTGAATTACTTATGTCTTTCTATTTTCATCCTGCAGGTGTTTGAGAAAACCTTTGAGAGGACCAATTCGAACCCAACGTTGCCGGCAATCAAAGTCTCCAGTACTCCATCCTCCTAAATTCATCCACTGCACTAAACAAATGCCTTCCTGTAGCCAATCCATGCAGAAGAACCTAACAGATGCTTTTCAAAGCAACAAAGATTTGGATGTGCCAAAGAAATTTTCTGAAAATGAACTGGGTAGTCATCCTCTAGAATTTGGCAAGAAAGAATCAGTTGTCAAAGATTCTGAGGCATCCATGATTGGAATACCAAAGAATATTTCTGAAAATATTGGTAGTGTTCTTCCCACAGAAATTCTAAAGGTCTCAGATCTTTCCGATTTCCAGTCTGTGTCTGAACAAAATAAAGGGAATTTTTGTGCATGTGTAAAGAATGAATGCCAGTGTAAGCAATGGCAAAACCTGAATGTGTACACGTTTTCTGACATACAGAACTCCCTCCAGTGTGTATCTGAAAGATCAGCACATGTGCAGAACAATCCACAGCTCACATCAAGAATTTCCTCCAGTTCTCTCAAATCTTGCTCTGAGCAAGCCAGAGCTCATGTAGATGATGTGACTATTGAAGACCTATCAGGTTATATGGAATACTTCCTGCATATCCCTAAGGAAATGTCTCACATGGCGGAAATGATGTATACCTGACCCTAGCCAACAAAGGGCATTGATATCTGCCCTGAATCATGCTCCATCTCAGAAGCAGTTTGCTCTCTGTGCTTATAATAAAACCACTTTGCATTTCAGGCTTCTTGTTTTTAATAGATCAACAATTGAAATAAATTATAAATCAGGACTGCAAACAGCAAGCCTAGGAAATTATGCCATTTTTGTAGGTATGGCCACAATTGGCTGTTTGGATTAACTGGCTAACATTTTTACAGACAGTGAATCATAAAACAATCTAGAGCGAATTCAAGCACTTTCCATCTGAGGCTAAGTACTGCATATTGTTATATGTTATATTGACTGTATATGTAACTATGTATATGCATTATGTTTGTAATTGCACGCAAGCACACATTTTAAATTATCAAAAGCATAGCATTATTTCAATTTGACTTTGGTTGCTAATGCACTAGTCTTTTCCTGAAATCTGTTGAATACATTATCTGTAATTGTAGAAGTCAGTAATGTTTTTCTTCTCTGTATTGCTTTAAATACAGCCTAAATTCCATGTTTGTGCACTTTCTAAAGGAAATCCTTCCAAAGCATCAATATTTGGATTTTGTGAATAATGGGGAGATATTAATATTCAATCACATGTGGCCATTAGATGTCAGCTTTGCTCCATATCAGAGTAGCACAATTTTTACTACATTTCATACTTATGCAGACTATTCTGTTCATTCTGCTTGCAATTTATATCTCAAATATGACTCTAAAGCCAATTTCTATACTTATTTCCGTGACAATATGTTAGAGACAATATGTTTAACCTATACGAGTTATGTCTGAAAGAAACCAATGTATTTTGGCAAACTTAAGACTAAGAAAACTACTTTCAAGGCACAGTCATATGCATGGAGTTTTGGTTTATTTGTTAACCTACTTCAATTCACAGATATGTTTATAACTTAAAATCAGAAATTAATTCAAAGATGAAAGAATCCAGTTCTCCCTTGATATAACATCCTAGTGGAAGCCAACCTTAAAAGCATTATGTCACATAAGTACAGGTAGTCCTCAATTTATGACCACAATCGAGTCCAAAATTTATGTTGCTAAGCGAGACATTTGTTGAGTTTTGCCCCATTTTGCAAACTCTTGCAACATTTGTTAAGTAAATCACTGCAGTCGTTAAATTATTAGCACGATTAAGTGAATCTGGATTCCTCATTGACTTTGCTGGTCAGAAGGACACAAATGATGATCATATGCAACTGGAATAAATAAGAGCCAGTTGCCAAGCATCCACATTTTGATCAAGTGACTAGATGGTCACGTAGTCATGTGAAAAACAAGTCATTTTTTTCAGTGCTGTTGTAAATTCAAATAGTCACTAAATGAATGGTTGCAAATTGAGAACTACCTGTAATCTATCCAATTTATTATACCTAATGTGGCTATGGCTAATGTTTGCGTGATGTTTTCTCATAATTCAGTTTATTGTTGTCCAGATGTTTTGGGAATAAAATCCACAGAATTTACAGTCAGAATACTAGCTAGAGATTCTAGGAATTGTAAATCATGGGGAAGGCAGCCACTACTTTATTCTGAGGTCTCTTGTTTTCTGGTCCAGAATTCCCTATGTTTTATACTGCTAAGTTACTAAGCAAGGATCTCTAATAACTCCCTAGGAAGATGCTGCTCTTGAGATAAGCATTTATTTGCAACTGTACTGAGTCAGCCATGGTTTATTGCTTCTATGTTATATGAACATTATTGAGCTGCTTTTTGTGCAGCTTCAACACTCTAGTTAGGGTTGTACAAAAAAAAACCACAATTGCAAATCACTGATAATAGGCAATGCTTGAAATGATTTTTTTTTCCACAACTCAGACAAACAAAATTTGTGGATGGCAATTCATTGCAAATATAGTATATGAAGTTCTTTGAGCATTTTCTGTATGTGTACTTTGTACTGTGCAAGCAATTACAGGATAGAAACTAATGTGGAATTCTTGGCACTAACTGTTGGAAGTAGCTATAAAAAGTGTCAGAAGTAACATCTCCACATTTTCCTCTGGTCTTGTATAAGACCACCTGTTTCCTGTACATTCTCAGGAAATAAGCATGTTTTCAGCTTGATAATATGGACGGAGTTCTGTGAGTTGAGTATTCCAGAAATTGATTTCAGCCACTGAAACATGATTTGCTTTTTTAAGTGAAAAAAGCAATCTTTTGGTTATTAGATAAATTAAGATTACCTATTAGTTTTCTTTAACAAATTTTGTACTAAAATTTTGCAATTGAAATAGAAGTTTCTCATTTGGATTCTGCAATTATAAAGATATGTTTACAAGTGAAGGTTTATGAGGTTAGCTTTACAATTAAAATAAATAAATATAGCAAATATGGCAAATGCGCAGTGGTGCTTAATAATGAAACCCCTCAATATAAATTGATCAAATATCAGCTTTAGCCAACTTTCCACTTGAAGTATTTCTAAGTGAAGGCTGAAATTGATTTATATTCCAAATTGACAATATGTGTCATGTGTGAAGTGCTAAACATAAGCGGAGGAGAATTATGAATTAAAAATAGTGATTTTGTGCTTGGGAACTCAGACTTGTTTCTACCATATAAGATATTGAACAAATTATTCTCCTTTAGTGTTACCCATTTCTCTTAATGTGAAAGTATTTTTAGACTGGCTGTATCCATTAGACATTTTCTAACATTCATTTTGTGATTACAACTTTGATGCTTTTAAAGTTCAAATATTTGGTATTCCTGCCATAATTGTTTTTTTTAAACTTTCTAAATAATATTTTTGTTTTTTTTACAATTTTGTTATTTATAATTGTAATTGTTTGACTTTTTAAAGAATTACAATTGGAATATTTCTTTGTATACTTTATTTAACCTAAGGTCATGTCAATTAAGTTTAATTCCCCCTATTCAAATGGGAAAATCATGTATTTTTACTGAACAAAATCTTTCGTTGAGGAGAAAAATGATTTTGCAGAAAGCTTTCTGGTTCACAAAACAAACTTAACCAGGTCATTTCTAGACTCAGTGTGTTAGGCCATCTCATAAACCAGTTTTTTAGGGTCAGAAAAGAGATCATTTTAACCCCAAAGTATCTTGGCTGAATTGTTAGTAAAAAGTCTCATCTATTGACCATAATGTGTTGTGTGGACTCAGATTCCGTCACTTCATAGCAACTCTTCTGCAAGATAAATTGCACTGAGAGAAATTAACTGACCCAAAGTCACCCCTGAGCCTTATCATTAAGGAAGGAATTAGTTCAACACTTGAATCCTGAGTAAGTATGCCTGTGATTGCAGCTCTAATGGCAGAGGAAGAGATCTTCCATAAGAGCAAGGAGCAGGATTATTTTCTGAGTAGCCAATGCATATTAAACGCTCATACCCGCACGGCGAATGAATCGCGTAGCTTACATTTATATAGCTCGTTGCTGTAGCGAGCAGAATCTGCGGCTAAAGGCAAAAAAGGACTGGCGGTGAGTTTTCAAAGCCATTTGCCGATTTGCACCTGGCCGGGCTCCCCTCAGCGCAGAGAAGGTCAGCGGGGAGGAAGCACGCCTTGTGGTTGTGGTGCTTGCCAAGGAAAACCGACTTCCTTCAGCGGCGAAACTGCAGGATTATCTTAATGGGCAACTGGGGAAGAGCTAGTAATATAGTCACGCTTTCCCCGGCAATTTCGAAGAAAGTTTGCGTCCCAGCGACTCCACAGACGTCCGAATCTTCCGAAGAGAGCCCGCTTCCTTCCCAGCCCGTCAAAAATAATGCTCAGCCAAATTCACAAAACCCAGATTTACGAGTTGTTGTGCCCCTTCCAGCCTTGCCTCCTAACCTCTCCGTTCGGGGATCCGTTCATGCTCCCCTTGTTCCCACCCTCGGGTTTAGGAGAAGCCGTTTCTGGCGCAGCCCTCCTGAAAAAAACCTTGGGCGCAAACAGCCGGCCCAGAACCGCGACCCCCTCCTCCACCTCCCCCGCTTCGTCGTTCCCAGAGCTTCCCAGGCTGCTATTTTTAAAAGTACACGCTTGTTTCCTCGGTCCCTCGCCTCCTCCTCCTCCTCCTCCTCGAGGATTATTAATTTTTATTCCGGCCCCGAAGGGGTGGTTCCTCTCTCCTCCGTAAAAGGGTCCTAGAAAGGGGGCTGGGCGAGGGGGGTCTATTTTAGGAGCAGCTCTAGGGAGACGATGGCCTTGTTAGGGCAGCTTTGACCTTTTCCTTGGTGGAGGAGGAGGCGAAAAATAGGAAGAGGCTCTGGAGGAGATTGGGAGCCGTGCACAGTCTGTGGGGCAGCAAAACCGCTGGCATCGTCCGGGGCCGGGACCTCGTGGAGGGCATAGGAACCAAGGGAAGGAGGGAAAGCAACGAGGAAACAAACCGTCGGATAAGTATAGCCCGGCAAGAAGATTAAAGAGAGAGCGCTCCTGCAGATCTGCATGGACTCTTAAAAGAAATTGATCGTGGGGGGATTTTTGAGGAGACTGCAAGGATGATACAAAGGCCAGTACAGTAACTACTGTAGTGGAAGGAGAAAAAAATTACAACCCTTGTCCGGCCTCTGATCGAGGATGTAAAGTTTAGAACTGTACAGCTGAGGGGGAACTTCAATCCTATTCTTTCCAAGACCGGGGACTAGTTTGTATCTGTAATCAACATCTCCATGCCTTCTCTGGTAATGGTTCCATAGAACCAAGCAACGCAACTTTCTGAGTTCCCTAGCCCGATCCTCCCTCCGCCAACAGGGACTTGGATCCCACAGCAACTTCCTTTTCTTGGGCTCTTGGAAAATGGTTCAGCTGAACTTGGCTATGCAGCAGTTGAATCAGGCTATGATACTTCCATTAATGGAGCCATAATCTGGCTAAATAGGCAAGAGAGAAAAGGAAGGAAAAGAGGAGCAAAAGAGAAGAGTGGAAATCCTCTGGCTTTCTGACTTGGGTTGTGTATCATGAGTGGTGGAAGGTTTGACTTCGATGATGGAGGAGCCTACTGTGGGGGCTGGGAAGGTGGCAAAGCCCACGGGCATGGCATCTGTACTGGCCCCAAAGGTCAGGGCGAATACTCTGGCTCTTGGAACTATGGTTTTGAAGTGGTAGGGGTATACACATGGCCCAGTGGGAATACCTATGAGGGCTACTGGTCTCAAGGAAAGCGACATGGCTTAGGGATTGAAACCAAAGGACGATGGCTTTACAAAGGTGAATGGACCCATGGTTTCAAAGGAAGATACGGTATAAGGCAAAATATCAGCAACGGAGCAAAGTATGAAGGTACCTGGAATAACGGGCTGCAAGATGGATATGGTACAGAGACCTATGCTGATGGAGGTAAGACTGGCTAAGATGTGGTTGGCTGCCAGTTCCTTCCCAGATGGGGCATGGACAATGTACTATGTAGGCTAAGAATCCCAAAGCTGCAATCTTGAGGGGAAATAATTCAGTTCTTATTCCTGAAAAGAGGTGACACGAAGGCCTTGGAATAGAATGTTATATTTAATATCTCCAGATATGTGTCTTATTTATTAAATTGCAGCTGAAGATGTACATAGTTCTCCCTCTGTATATAAACGAGTATGTGTATACACGAGTATGTGTATGTGCAAACTTTGCATTTTATATATACGTCCTATACATGTCTCACACACACATACCTGGCTTTCCCATCACCATTTCTGAATTAATCTGTGTATCTGCATCTTACATGCATTTTACTGCTTAATTATCTGATGTCCACTGCCCAATTACAATTTGACTCCTGATATAACTCCATCACTGATTACCCTTCTTTGCAGTGCAGGATGTGTCAACTCGAAGCTCATAGGATAAGCATTCATTTCATGGTATGGATCAATCTTTGCTGATTGGTTGAACATCCACCATACAACTCACAAAGTATCTAGAAGTAGGTACCAGCTCTTATCCAGCAGAGGTGGTGAACAAGATGCTTGCCACAGAATCAAAAATCTTGAGCACAACTTAATAAAATCCAGTGTACCAAATATGTTTCTGGGCATAACCAGTTGCAAAAATTACACTGGTGCAAGATAATCTTTGATGTGCCATGATGTGACTTGTTTGGAATATTGTATCAACTCAATATTATGGTTAAACAGTTTGTGGCTAGAAATCATGCCGTTATATAACTGGCTCATTAGGAAACTTCAGATATTTGCACTACTTTTCTGGAAAGTTCAAGGCAAATTTCAAGCAGTTATGTATATTTCATAATGTGGTCATGAGTCTTGATAAGGAAGAAGATTGTTCAGTTTAGAACAACTGAAAAAAATCATTAAACAATATGTTTACACATTTATTTGCATTTTAAGGTATTCCGTACATAGTCTTGATGGATTATCCAACTGACTAGATTTTTGTATTTGTTTAACAAAATAATGAGTGCTTAGTAGTGTCCAACAAATAATTCTGTGGTTGAGAGTTGAAGTGAAAAACCAAAAACCAAAACCAGACAAGCAATGAGAAAGAGTGAGGCACTGCCATTAGATACAAGTGAAAAAAATGTTCATCAGCAGGTGTCAAAATGTACTTATTGGTGCATTTTTGCTATGTTAGTTTATCTGAAATTCTAGGACTTTTTGACTTTTATATCATTGGGGTGAACAGCTTATGATTACTTTCCATTGAAAATAACGAGAAAAATAGATTTCTAAGTAAAATATGAAAAAGTTTTGTTCTTGTTTGAACAAAATGTTCAAATGATAGCTGTAATAAATAAATTAATCTCATACTCATCTGTATGAAATTTAATAAGTGCTATTGAATTTCATGAGACTGAATTACAATATATGGAATACATGTAGGACTTAATTATTAGTAACTGGAAAAAAACTTGAGACATTTCTTATATTACTGACATTCACAATAACTGTCTAGTATTAAATTATATCAATACCTCTTGATTCACAGTAAGCATTTTCAAGGCATGAGTTGTGATGAAGATTGCATTAGTAAGTTATGTCCCAGAAATCAGAAGATGAATTTACCTGCACAGCTGCTTCCAAATCTGCAGGATATTCCAGATTGTCATTAGCAAGAGCAAGAAAATTCATATGCTATGCTTCAGAAAAAAAAATTATCTAAATCTGATGATGAATGTGCTTGTCTTCACACCTGAATGCTTCAATTACATTTTCTGTCATGAAGTTATTTTCTACAGCTACAAATCTTTCCTTTTTTTGTTCTTTTCCAAGGAGAGTCTGAAGGGCAATTCCTTGTTTTTTAATTTATAATTCATCATGAAATAAACTACCTTTGAAAAAAAGGTATCAACTTATGAATGTTAGCCCATTGTTAGTTGCACAAATGTCAAAATATTTAAGATAGAAATATTTCTTCCAGAGGTCTTTACATGGCATTGTAAGGCGGTTTCCACAATGGCTGGGTTTTCACTCAATCATTAACAAATCAACAGTAGGCCCACATAGAATTTGAATTAGCCCAAGGAAACTACATCGCAGTTTAGCATGATCATATTTGTTTGGATTTGGCTTAGCTTGTTCTGCAGACAAAGACAGTTGTGGTTTATTCAATAAATCATAATAGACAGAAACATGCCATAGTAGAATTTCTAAACCCAACCAAAAATTGTTATCTCAAGTAGTGTTAAACTATGGTGTGGATTCAGCAGACAGATTTTATAGGAGCTCATTATTAGTACTGTTAGTAAGACAATGAAAACAAGCTATGGAATGAAGAGTTTAGCATCCCCCAACCTCAGATGCTAGAATAGGATTAGAAATGATGAGTCTAATAGTATAAAGTGGACTGTAGAATCTCCATTCAAATCCAGATACTACATGCATAAGATTGGCCCCACTTTGACACTCTTTTGCAAGGCCCTGAAGACCTGGTTTTGCCAATAGGCCTGAAGACCTGGTTTTGGGGACACCTGAGTGGGATGCTATCAAATGGCTTATCTTATAGTTGTCAGCAGGGAAAGGGGCTTATTGCTTCTTTATTATCTTTATATTGAGTTTTTATCTTTGCAAGCCACTTGGAATCACTGAAAGTGATTTGGACAGCCATACAAATTTTTGTTCCACACTATGAGGGCCTGTATGTATAATCATAGAATTAAAGATTAGAAGAGACTTTGGAGAACATCCAATCTAACTTCCTGCTTAATGCACCATTTTTACTCTGATAGCTGTCCATCCAACCTCTGTTTAAACACAACATCCAGCAAAGAAAAGTATCACCTTCTGAATCTGTTCCATTGTAAATAGCTCTTACAAGTAGGTTTTTTTTCCTGGTGTCCATCCAAAATCTGTATCTTAAACCCACTATTTCTTGATCTGTTTTCTGAAACACCTTTGAACAATTCTATGCTATGACAACTATTTGGATATGTGGAGAATTATCAAGTCTTCCCACAGTTTTCTCTTAAACATATCCCAAATCTCCCCATGTTTCTCGTAATTGTTTTCTTTCCAGTCCCCTTCATCATCTTGGTTGCTATCACTGATCTGTTGCTGTCAGTTAAAATCCTTCAATTATATATGAACAAGAACTGGATTCTATGTTGGTCTTACCAATACCGAGCAGAGAAGAACCATATTTCACTTGATCTGAACACTGTTTCTTTTGAAGTCTATGATGAATTTGCTTTTTAAAAAAAGTTGCATCACTCTGATGGCTCATATTCAACTTGTGATCCATTAAGACCTCCTCATTTCCCAATTTCTCCAAAGATATCTGCTGCCTTTGGATGTTAATTTATATCCATCTATGGAAAAGAGAATATTACAATAACTGATCATGAATCAAAGAGCTTTTCCACCCAGTACCAAAGCAAATGGCACCTAATATGCCATGTAATCCTCCAGAATGTGGTTTAGTACAGACTATTGTCTATTGACACCACAATTTCTAAAGTATCACTATACCTGGAATTAAACACTTCTTCACTTTTGAATAGTTTGCAAAACTAGGTATACAACTTGGTGCCCGCGTATGCTCATATGTGTACACACACAGAGAGACACCCACAAACATAAATACATATATACAGAGAGAGAGAGAGAGAAAGTGAGTGAGCGAGAGAAAAATAGATACTTTAAACAAACTATAATATTTAAATCAAAATTCAGAGATACATCCTGGAATACAACCTTTGATGCTACTATTTAAGTCATATTTGGCGGGAGAATATAGGAAAAGAATTATCCTTTTCTGTGCTTCAGAAGCTGACTTTCCTCCTTTCTTACACTCTATAGTAATATTAAATTCACCTTTATAATACCATACAAAGCTATTCTGCAAAATTGCTTCCTAATTCTATTTCCTTTTTAAAAGAATCCTGACATTTCAATATTTCCATTTTTTAATTGTCAAAATGCAGTAATTTCTTTGTACCTAACTTCCTTGCCCTGTTCTTGTGATTTGTTTTATATATTAACCTTTTTACAAGAATTATAGCATTGATTAGCAATTTAGCTGAAATGTTAAATTTACATATACTTGAGAGAAAGGGAACAACCTTGTAAGGATATTTTTATGTGAAGTGTCTTCTGGGGCTTATCTTAATATTACAGCATAATGGATGGTAGTGAAAATTAATAATGAAGAAATTGATCAAGTCAATAATCTTGTCTATAAAGTGCTCACTTGTTTACACCCTATTGTAATTCATTCCAGAGTCTTGTCCACTGTGTTTTGTGTACTTTTTTTCTGGACTCTTCCTTGTCTTCCTAGTATTTTTTTTAGATCTTTAAGCATTATTGTCCTTTGTTGATAGGATAGACCTAATTGGTGAGCTATGGAGATCAGAGTCCATAAAAATTCTTCATTTGTTCTTGGCCCTTTGCCTATGAGAATCCAAATCCTTGGGGGAGCTAGTGTCTCTTTACTGGGAATAAATATTTGTATTTCTTTAGCATATTTCATTCCAGGATACCCAAGCTGAATGGGGAGTAGGGGAGGGTAGCTTACTAATTTTGGAATGGAATTTGAAACTGTGTGTGAGGGATAGAAGAAAAGTTTTGGGGGTGAGAGAGTAGTATTGTTCGTTGCTGAGGTAACCATGTCAACAAAAGGTAGACAATGAAGCAAGATAGAATCTGTGAAGTGAGGAAAATTAATGTTTTATGCTAATTAGTGGGAAAGGAACCAACCTTTTTCTGTGAAAACTTCAAATTTGCTATGGAAAAGAAGGTTTTTGTTACATTTAAATAGTTTACAACTGAGAATATATACAACAAAAGAATGATCAAGCATGGAGTATTGTCATCGAGGACGGTGGATGAATGGATGATAGTAGATGATAGGTACATAGATAGGTAGGTATAGGTAGATAGATAGGTCAGACAGAAATGCTAGACGCCCTAGTCAAATATGTAAAACTTTTGCAAATATTAAGTTGAAATTTAGTTCACCTCAATAGCTGTTTAATAGATGTTTCATACTTCAACAAGTTTTGGAGATTCTCTGAACCAGCTATTTTTTATTTAGAATTTGAATGTCTTTGCTTACTGTATATAGGACGACTCTTAGAGCTTATCTACACTGCCAGGTTGTCTTGTCACTATAATAGAAAAGCAACTGTTTCTGGAGGGCAGAAGTGGATGGTGTTGTTGTCCATTAATTAATTCCCCATTCACCTTCATATTAATTTCAGATTATGTTTCTCTGTTCCACTTCCAAAATGTTCTTTTTGTATTTTGTTCACTTGTGAGTCTCCTGTTCATTTTAGCCAGAGCACTTTACTTTGGTGGGATTCCGCTATTTATTGGCAGCTTTGCAGAAGAAGAGTGGCTCGTTGAGCTGAGCTAATGTTTCCAATTCTATATCCCCTTTTTCCTGTATTGTTGAAATAATAAAGTGGTTATGAGATTTAATTTAAGAGAACATTGCTGATTTCAAGTCAATAGAATATTTTTAATTATAGGTTTTTAAGCACCTAATTTCCCCCTGAGCTTATTTTTTTAAAGTCCAAGAGAAAACTAGCAATACAAGGAAAGTAAAATAATAAATAATGTAAAATAAAAACAGTAATCTTAAAAAAATCTGTCAAGTTTTGCACTAGCAATCTTCTCTCTACAGCTGAAATCTTAATCAATATCATATTTCAGCAGTGCTGGTAAAAGGAGGTACAAAACCTATTACAATGGAATGAGAGGCAAAGAAGGAAATTTTAAAGCTGTTTTTGTGCCTATATGTGTCTTTTGATGTTTTGTTTGTTTTTTATTATTTCAATGTAATCTATATGAGCATATCCATCCATCCATCCATCCATCCATCCATCCATCCATCCATCCATCCATCTATCTATCTATCTATCTATCTATCTATCTATCTATCTATCTATC